TTTCATTTTAACGCTTCTCCCAACGGTTAATCAGTTACTTTATAGTTTATTAAGGGAATGTCAGTTTCTCAATGAATTGAGGGACCCAAGTTTTTCAAAGTTACCTCATCTGCCAGATAAAGATTGTTTTTGGACAGCTTAAATCATTACAAAAAGAGTCCATTCCCATCTTAAGAGGGTTAGACTAGATATAATCTTAAGTTTTAGAATTTTTTTGCATAAATCTTCAATCTTGAATCTGCATTTCCGGCTTACTAATCTAAAATTTTACCATTACATCAAGTATATATATGACAGAAATGCACATACTGATATGGATGAATGGAAAAATCAAAAAGGATAAAATCAAATTTTTGAATGAATCTCAGAGTAACTTTAATAGTAATAAAATCAGAGAAAGTAAACATAGATGGTTTAGTTATGTGCAAAGAAGACCATTAACAACACCTGTACCTATAAGAAAAAGTGATTTATTACAAATTGAAGGGATTAGAAGGACTAACGAAAAACAAAAAGGAGATGGTTAGAAATAGTAATAAATGATTTCAAGCGCCAATCATTTAACAATAGATATGGCACTAATCAGAAGGGACTGATCAGATAAGGCTTGGATGATCATGATGAGATTCCCAAATTTCATTTAGAATTCTAATATATTTTTTTCCACTATCTAATATGATTAAATTGACTAAGGTGGTGTTTGGTAGTGTGTTCATCTCGTGGATGAACCATTTTGGTCCACACCACATGGTGAACTCACCGTTTTGTTGGTCATGGACGGGACTGGTCCACAATATATTGTGGACCGTCCCCACCCACAACCCTAAATCTCGGCCACACTTATATCTCATGATGTGGCTAGTCCACAACATTTCCACATTGTATTTTGATACATACATCTCTTCTATATACTTTTATTTCTTTTTAATTTTTAAATTTTAAAATAATAAATTTTTAATTTTAATTTTTTAATATTTTATAAAAAAAAATAATATTTTTAATGTTAATTCTAGCACAAGCCTGATAGGGCTCATTTTTCACTTTTTTTTTTAATTTATTTAAATAATATTATTTTAAAGTTTTTATCAACAAAATAATATTTTTAAATATTTAAATTATTTTTTATTTTTTAATTATTTTACTATCATTTTTATTAAAATTAATATTTATTTATTAATATTAATTTATCAATGCCTTTTTTCAATATATTTATCATATAAAATACAAAAATTAGACACTTGTAATCGATTGTGTAGATCATTCATAAAATGTATATGAGATACATGGAATCAAAAAGTGTGATGTGGATACACCTACAGAACGCTACTGTGGGTTTGGACTGGTCCAATCCACATTGTTTGTCCACAGTTTCAAAACAACTGTGGACTATAGTATGGTGTGGATTGGTCCCTGCCACAGGGTGTGGTGTGGACTAGTCCACATCCACCAATTTCTCATCCACACTACAGAACACCCCCTAAACTAGTAATGATTTCATCCAATCAAGTTGTTTTATAAATAATGGTTGAATTCTCCTTCTTTCACATTGCTTTTTGTCACAAGTCTCATCCATCACTAGTCCATTAATTTCAAAGTGCTCTTTCAGTGGATGGGTTTTAGTGGAAATGATCTCTGAGTCAAGAAAATGATTTGTTTGGATGTTTCTAAGAGTCAAAACAAATGCACATCTTTTTCCAACATCGGTATCCTTGTTTTTACTACTGTTTAGAACATAACCTAATTAAGTACTTGAAATCTATCGGCCCTAATCTGAATGGAAGCCCCATTTAAAAGTTGAAGATCGCCTACCAAACAAGAACTTGAATGCTTTGAATGATTGATAGCTTGTTTTGGACCGAGTTAGTTGATTGAATGGAATTTGCCTTAGGTTTGCCTTTCAAAAAAAAATCTGAAATAATTTGATTTTGATTTGTATATAATATGAGCCAAGTCGTCATCTGGATAAAATAATGTTTGACATATGTGCATGCATGTATATTAAATATTAAAGAAACTTAGCAACCTAATGGTCTTTGGGTGTCTAAAGCATTATTTTGTATTGACCATACAATTTAGAGGTAGACTTTATCTCGGGTTAGAGCAGACCCGTGATGCGTTTAGACAATTATTTTGATTGGTTCTAGTTTCCATTTGGGACGGCTTTCATGTGGTGGTTTGCAGATTCTGGCTTTATGAGGTGGTCCAATCAGGCAACCTGAAAGCAATAATGTTTGGTAAAAATCTCAAAAATCTTAAAATAGTCATCTTGCAGTTAAAGATATCGGGGTGTATCGGTAGCGTATCGATGGAAAAGATATGACAAAAAAAAAAATTAAAGGGGAAAACAAGTTTTTTTTCCCCGAAATAAGCCTTCTTTCACCCCCCAAATGACTCTAAAACTCCGAACTTCATTCCTAGAGTGTTAGATTTGCAAAAGTTTGCAAGAAACAAATGTCAATCATTAATTTTTAAAGATTTTTCAAATTTTGAAAAAATATGGCAAAAGTAGGTAAAATTTTTCAATCTTTTATAATATCTTGTGATTTCTTTTTTTTTCTTGAATGTTTAATCTTATGTTGATCTGCATTTCTTACATTCAAAATCACAATTTTTTGTGTGTTATTAGTAGAATTATGGAAATTTCATAAAGATATTTGGGGAAAATATAAATTAACAAAAAATTTGAAAATGTAATTTTTTTCTCTGTCTATAAAGACTAAATATGTTTTAGATCTATGGATTTATCTACCATATCCATAGAGCACTTGAAATTTCTTCTTTATTTATTTTTTATTTTTTATATTTCTAGAATTAAAAAATAAATAATAATTAATTATATTTTATCATTTGATCACAACAATTGAATATATTATAATTCTATGGATGATCTATCATATCCACAGACCAATTAAAATTTCTTCTTTAATAATTATTATTTTTATTTTTATATTTTTAGAATTAAAAAATAAATAAATAAATAATTATATTTTATCGCTTGATCACAATAATTGAATATATTATAATTCTATGGATGATCTATCATATCCACAAAGCAATTGAAATTTCTTCTTTAATAAATATTTTTTGAATATATTATATAATGTCTATTTCTTTTATAATTTTTGGAAATGAACAATAATAATAATTATTTAAATAATTATTAATTATATTTTCACATAGAAGTTGTGCCAATGCATGTTTTATGGTTGCATAAGGGAGTTGGTTTTTTCTCACCTCATTAGACATTAAAACTTAAGAATTATAATTTATAAATTATAGTTAAGCATAGGATTTTTAWTRMAAYTATAADTADHTAYRATWTATTTCTTCATAAAACCATTAAAATATATTAATTTAATGTATATACACCATATTGAGGTCTTATATTTAGTGTTGTTGATGTATTTTTATGATTTATTAAAGTATTTATAATATTTCCAAGTGTATCTATGTGTATCTTAGTTTTTCTCCGATATACATACGTATTCAAAATCAAAACGTATCCTGATATATCTCTTAAAATTATTTTTCCGATACACTTAGCGTTACCCATACTTTGAACATTGGTTACACCTTTCTTTTGACTTGTAAGTGCCACACATTATAAAGAACTTGTTTGGTTGGATACATCAACTTTTAATAATAAGATATGACATTTTGCATTGGGTTTTGTGCATTAGGGTGGTGTTTTCTAGAAAAAGAAAAATAAGGTTTCATGCATCTAGGGGAGTTCCCATTTCAATTGTCCCATGTGATACCATGCCTTTTAAACTATGATAAAATGATGTGCCAAAACAACCTAGCTAATCTCTCTATCTCCAAATTCGAAGATCAAGATTATTTTCTTTTCGTTTTTAGGTTTCAGTTCAAGAGAAATTTCATATTCATAATTTAAGCTGAAACGATTAAGCTTTAAGCGTTATGGAAAAAACACCTTTTTTTTAATTTTTTAATGCACAGAAACATGGTTTTGAAAATTGGGACGGAAATGAAACCGCTTTGACCACCGGTTCTGGGGTCAAATGGTCTAAGCGTTCAGTCCAAAGCCCAATTAGATGGTTTTGGGGTCCAAAATCAGATCCGAAGTGATGTGTCCAAATGTTTTCTATAATTTTCTTTTGTATTTTTTTTATATATATGTGTGTTCTCATCTTTTCTAAATTTTTTATTATCATTTAATTGTGACAACAAATGGAATGACACATTTGCCCCAATAGGTTCAATTGTTGACTCACACCAAATAGAAAAACAATTCTATTTTTAAGTTAGTTTTAAATTTGTATTTAATTTCTATGTCACTAAAAATAATTTTTCTTCGTCATTTTTATTTTTCTTTAATATGGTTATTTAATATAGGATTCTATGAAACAATGAAAGTTAATACCCCAAACATAAGACTTAATGAGAGGAAATTGAATGAAAAGAAATATAATAATTCAAATTATAACCTTTGCCCTTATAGTTTAAAATGGATCAAATTCAAAAATAGGATTTAATGAATGTTAATGAGAGTTAATAACTTAAATATAAGAGTTAATGAGGGGGATTTGAATGAATAGAAAAATGTTCATTCAAATTACATTTCTATCCTTACCATTAGAGAGTGACTAAATTAAAAAATTAGGACTTTTAATAGTAGTAGTATAGTATATATAGATAAGCACTCCCAAACTTGGCATTTAGTGGTATTTGTTTGTTTTAAATTTACAATAAATAAATGAATTTATTGTGTATTGGATTTTGTGCCAATTCATTCATTGACCTTGTTTCCCCAGTTTTCAATGCTACAGTTTTGGATCGTTTGATTAATGCGGAGATGGTTGGACCATCTGGTCTGGTCAGACCGTATAACAGTTAGAGCAGTTGGATGTTCCGTTATACGGGATTCCAGCAAGCAACGAGACAGAGAGCCACAATTCAGCGACGCCCGCCGCCTAGGTGTCTAGGTGTGTAGGAGTAGGACATGTTGGGAGGAGACTTCGGAGTTTGGATCCAAGCTGTCTTGTCCTGGCCTCCTGGGTTGAGTTCCATTCGGTGTAGGGTCGGAGAGAGAGATGCACGCACCTGGCGTTGCTTATGACTCGGGTCAAGTCAAGGTTTTAAGAGGAAGAGGGTCTCGCCGTGTGAGGGGGGAAGAAATTTAGCACTAAAAGTGGTCGTGATTTTAAAAGTTATCTTCTCTGTCTCTTCAAAGTTTAGAGAGAGAGAGAGAGAGAGAGAGAGAGAGGTTGGCTGCGATTTTTTCTGCAGATCATAGAGAAGAAGAGGAATTAGATCGATCCATTAGAGATCGTTCCTTGAGACGGGTAATTCAATTAATCTTTTTTAATGTTCAGCAAATAAATCCGTCTGTTCTCTGTTTAATGTGCTTGTCGCCTAAGTATTAGCTTCAGAAACGAAATTCTCTTGCTTTTATTGTCTTCTGAATCTATTTGTGTTTGATTCGGGTGGTGTTCAAATCCGGTGTTTTTTGGGATTATTTTTCTTTTGATGGTTTCTTAATTATGTCTTGACCCTGTTGGTTGTTGTTTTCAATTTATTGAAAGCTTCTAGTTTTCTCGCCTGTTATTATGGTGGAATTGCTTCTCGGTTCTGTCCTTTCTGCGTTTCTTTGTTTCCAAGTTGATTCGATTCCCATGGTGGGGATGGTGATGGGCTGGCTGTAACTCATATTATTCAAAATTTATGATATCGGATTGATGGCTCTGAACTGGAGATTTTACTTTGTAGATAACTCGCCTGAGTTGCATCTAATACATTAAATGTTTAACGTGCAACTTTGCCTGCAAAATCTCAAGAATTGCCACAAATTGATTCTCTACTTCCACGGTAGGATGTGCTAAGAGTTAGGAAAGTTTAACATGAATGCTCCAGAGATATTAAGCTGATGTCCAAGTTCTAGACAACCAAAAGTAAAATGTATTTTTAATTTTAGAAGTGCAATTCAAAAGTAGAGTTGCAAACCTAACCTACAAGGCTGGAAAGATCATGAAAATTGAACTATTACTTTACCTTCTTCTTCTTCTTCTTCAAAAAAAGGAACTATTTTCAAATCAGCCTATGTAGTACCAGAGATTTTCAAACATTTTGATTGTGGAAATGATTTCTTGTTGAGGTTTTGATTTGTTCATTAGTCTTGGTTCTGTAAGGGACTGGATCAATTAATCATCTTAAGTCAAATTTGTATCAAGCTCTTGCAGAAATTTGGAAGATATTGAGAATGAATATTGCTCCCACCTAGAGAGATTGTTCTTTGACCTGACTGATAATTCAAAGTGTTCCTCTTGAAAATTTGGATTGGAATTGACGGAAGATAAGATGCATGGAGGATCTGCAATCTGAAATCTGAAAACTGAAAACCTCTAGTTGTTCCAAATGTTCTGAAAATTGTAACCATATCGCATAATTTTGAAGTGTCTAGGCGATTGTGGGTGACACTGGGGTGCCTAGGTGACGCCTAGGTGATAAGAATTTTATAATATAAAGAACTAACTTTTGGCTAGTTCCTTAGTTTTATATACCATATATCATGTATATTAATTGAAAAAAAATAGCAATTCTCTTTATTAAGAACATTTTCCTCTAAAAATATGGCAAATCATCACATCTAAAAGATAAAAATCTTTTACATATATTAATTTCATCATTTTCAAAAATAATACTACTGTAATAAGTATTTAATAGAGCAGTTTCATATCAATTAGCATTTAGGGAAGGTTATTAACTTTATATGATAAATATCCAAGATGGAAAGTAAAATAGAAAACAACATGGATTGAATATCTGTTTTATTTGTAAACTGAATTTGAGAGCAAGAAGAGAACAGAATTAAGGGTGTCAAAAATAGTTGATCCCCACCCCAAAGAGCCTCTTTTATATTTAAGAGATAAAAGATATGTACAATTACAATAATGCCCTTACAAGGCTGAAAGATAAAAAGAACAAATAAAATAATAAGAATATTATACTGTACAACAAGGACTATTCTAATAATGTACATCAAGATATATCTTCACACCCCCTCATACTGATGGGTAGACATCAACATCATTTTGCCCACTAGAATGAGGTGTCGACTTTTAGTCATGGCCTTGGTGAAGATGTTGGCAATCTGCATGTGAGAGGCTACATGAGGAAGAGATATAGAGCTTGCAACAAGAAGGTCTCTAATAAAGTGATAGGCCACCATGATATATTTAGTCCTCTCATGGAAGACAGGATTAGATGCGATCTTGATAGTATTGGTGTTGTTTGCATACAGAGGGATAGGAGTAGGAAGTTGAGTACTAAGATCCATGAAAAGAGACTTCAACCAAACGATCTCGCTACAGGCAGAATACATAGCTCTATACTCAGCTTCAGTAGAAGACTTGGAGACAGTTTGCTGTTTCTTACACTTCTAGGAGATGAGAGAGTCACCCATGAAGACGCACCACCCAATAGTGGATCGACGAGTGTCAGGGAACTAGCCCAATCGGCATCAGCATAAACCCTCAATTGTATGGATGATGAGGAAGAGAAAAGTAGTCCTTGAGAGGTTGTTTCTAACATAACGGATGATGTGGCGAACAATAGTCATATGAGGTTGCCGCGGGGCAAAAACAAATTGATTGACGACCTGAATAGCATGTGAAATATCAGGCCGGGTCATAGTGAGATAGATCAGAGAGCCAACATGTTGACGGTACAAAGTAGCATTAGGAAGAATTAGGCCTTCGGATTTAGACAGCTTTACATTTAGCTTCAGAGGGGTATCAATATGTTTCTCATCAGTAATTCTATCTAATTTGACGAGATCAGAGGTGTATTTTTGCTGACAAATGAAATACCCTCGACTGCTACGACAGACCTCCAAACCCAAGAAGGGGGCCCAGGTCCTTCATGTGAAAGGAGTTATGAAGTAAGGACTTCAGCTCACAAGTGCCATCATGATCATCCCCAGTTAAAAGCATGTCATCAACATAATAGGAGGATAGTGATACCCTGGGGTCTTCTCTTAACAAAGAGAGAGTAGTTAGAGGAACTCTGATTATACCCAGTTGCAACAACAACATCCTGGAAGCGCTCAAACCAAGCCATGGGTGCTTGCTTCAGACCATATAGGGACTTCTTTAGGTGACAGACACATGAAGAATCACTGCAATATCCAGGTGGAGGCTTCATGTAGACTGTCTCCTTCAGTTCACCATGAAGAAAAGCATTCTTCACGTCTAGTTGGTAGATAGTCCAGGAATGAACAACAGATATGGCTAGAAGAGTCTGAACTATGGTGATCTTAGCAACCGGGGCAAAAGTTTCTTCATAATCAATCTCATATTCCTAACTGTATCCTTGGGAAACTAACTGGGCCTTATATCGATCAAGGGAACCATCTGACTTCAGTTTGATCGTATAGACCCAACGACTTCCAACAATAGAAGCATCTAGAGGAGCTGACACAAGATCCCAAGTTTCATTCTCATGGAGGGCTTGAATTTCGATATCCATGGCTTCTTTCCACCTAGAACTTCTAGTGGCTTGCTGATAAGATCTAGGGATATCTGTGGAAGAAAGTACAACAAAAAAGGAACTATGGTTTGAAGGAAAACCATAGTGGTCAAGGGGTCGAGAAATACGAGTAGAATGACGAATTGGAATAACAGAACTACCATTTGAAATAGGAGGATCTTGGGTCAACGTGTCACTTACAAGGGGTACAGACATGGTTCAAAGTATCCATGCGCCTCTGTGTATCGACAAAAGCGTATTGGTACTTTGAACCACGCGGAAATATGTTTTTTTTTCAAAATTTGGTTTTTGGGGAGTTTAATACCTATATTTTTCATTAGAAAATAGTGGGGTCGCGAAACACCTATAAACAGGCATATCGGGACCCAAGGGGGGTTGTAGGTGCAGGAGCTGGGGCACATAGCCACTTGTAGGGGTGTCAACGGTATTTGAAAATTTAATTTCGAATTCGAGATTCGACATAATTGAATCAAATTCGGATAATTCAAATATCTAATCGGTCAAATTCGGATATCCTGTTCAAACCGAATAGCTAATCGGATTCGAATTCGGATATGACCTGATTCGATTCGATAAATATCCAAATTCGACCGATTATTTAATTCTTATATATAATATATAAAATTTTTAAATGTTTTATATAATTTATATCATAGTTTTCAAGGCGCCAAGGCGAGGCTAGGCGACCATGGCCTAGGCGCCTAGCCCTCACCTAGGCGATGAAATTTAAAAATAAGAAACCGATGGATTTCTACCCCTTCTGAACTAGTTTTTTTGGTTTTATGTATTCTGCACTTATTTTTTTGCTTATGTTTCTTGATGAGAACAATTATTAAAATAAAATAAGAAAATGAAGAAAAGTAAGGGGCGGAGCCCCTATTTTAGACCCAAAAAAGCTGGTTAAAAAAATATTAAAATAAAAGAAAAAATATGAAGAAGAAAAGAAGGGGCTCTGCCCCTGTTTCAGACACCAATGATGAGAACAAAAAAAAATTTGAAGAATGCAAGAAGTTAAGAACAAAAGAAGGGGGCGGAGCCCCTGTTCTAGATCTAGAAAAGTTGGTGAAAAAAAACTAAAATAAAAGAAGAATATGGTGAATAAAAGAAGGGACAAAGCCCCTGTTTCAGACACCAATAATGAGGGAAAAAAACTAAAAACACGCAAGAAATTTAAGAACAAAAGAAGGGGGCAGAGCCCCTGTTTTAATCCAATAATATGATTCAAACGAAGAAAGAAGAATGGTTTTAGTTCAACAAAAAGAGGAGAAAAATGGGGTGTAACCACTGTTTTAAATCAGTGGAAGAAGAGAACAAAACGAAGGAGGAAACTGATTAACTCACCTGGACTTAGAGGACTGTGTCGGAACGATGGAGGCCTGTTGTTTTCTCCTCTTCCTTAGTTCGATTCTTTTGTCAAAGTGAAACCCTTGCGATTATTTTGTTTTTACTTCCAACAAAAACATGATTACATGCAACAATTCCTATTATAAAAACTAAAACCAACCAATAAAATATTATATATTTATATTTAGTTTTATTTAATAAATATTTTATATTATATATGTGTTTCAGGCCCCTAAGCATGCACCTAATACAAATTTTCTTGGCGTTTAGGCAAGGTGCTCTTTGAAAAGCACCTAGTCGCCTAGGTGACGCCTTGACAACTATGATTTATATATATAATAATTAAATTATATAAATAATTTATATAAATAAAATATTTATTTTATATATTTCTTAATGACCTAAAATAATTAATTCTTCAAATTCGAATCGAATCGAATAGTCAATCGGATTCGAATTCGGATATTGCTTGATCTGATTCAAATTCGATTCGTTTACACCCTTAGCCGCTTGCGGGTGAAGACGAGAAAATCTCTCTCAATCGAGGAAGTAGTAGTGTTGTCTGAATCAAAGTCTTGCAAAATAGAGATGGAAGGAGCGAACAATCTAGCAATCCCAACAAAGAATGAAATATGTTTAAGAAACACAACATTCCGGGAAATCCGAATACGACGAATAGCATGGTCATAACATAAAAATCCTTTGTGGTTAGGACTATATCCCACAAAGGTACACATAGCAGATTGAGTAGTTAATTTAGATCATTCACGAACAGGAAGATGTACAAAACAAAGGCAACCAAAAACATGAAGACTAGAGAAACCTAGGGGATGACCAAAAAGTTTTTGGAAGGGAGAATTGTTGCGGAGAACAGAGGAAGGAAGATAGTTGATCAAATACACGACTGTACTGGCTGCTTCTACCTAAAACGAAGTTGGAGTATGGGATTCCTATAGTAATGTCCGCACAACACTGAGGATATGTCCATTCTTCCGTTTAGGTACACCATTCTGTTGTGGAGTGTTTGGGCAGCTACATTGAGACTGAATTCCATAACTCCTCAAGTAGTTCCGAAAGTTTCCATCTGTACATTCTCCCCCTGAATTTGAGCAGAGTATAGTCACATTGCACTTGAAGCAATTTTGCACCATAGTATGAAATAATTTAAATGTGCCAAAGACCTTTGATTTGTGCAGTAGAAAATAAATCCAAGTATATCTGGTACAATCATCTATAAACAATACAAAGTAATTGTATCCCAATCGTGAAGTAATAGAAGTAGACCAAACATCACTATGTATTATCTCAAAAGGTTTAGTGGCATGTTCAAAAGTGTGAAGAAATGGTAAAACATGACTTTTACTCAAACAACACGCAATGCAAGAGACATCAAAAGTATGAATAGGAGGAATTTTATTCTTAACCAAACCAGAGTCAAACAAAAGCTTTAATTTTTGAGAATATGGATGACCCAATCGTTTATCCCATAAATCCCAAATATTATTTCTATAACTCAATAGAGAATCAGACAAAGAAGAACTAAGAAAAGCCGAGGATGCTCCTGATTGAGACTTCTCAAACTCCAGCGCAAATAGACAGCCCAGCCTACGCCCCTTCCTTTTCACCTTCCCAGTGTATCGGTCCTGTATCAAGCAATCATCATGAGAAAACGTGAGAACATTTCCTTCATCAACAAGTTGGCCAACAAAAATCAGATTAGTAGTAAGGTTGGGTACTAAGAGGGTTTTGGAGAGGGAAGGATTTGCGTGGATTTGCGTGAGTTTTAGTGGATGGATTTGCGTAATTAAGGTAGGCTCCTGTCATATGATTGGTGGCACCTGAATTTATAATCCAAGCATGTGAAGGGGAAGAACAATATGCAAAGAACTTACTAGACAAGCCAATAGCAGAGAAAGCAGAGGAAATAGCAGAAGATACAAATTACCGAATCTTTTCTTCATCCATAACACCAGTTGAACCACCTTTCACTAAAGAATCACCCTTGGTGGATACAATGTTAGTTGCCTGTCCATCTGTTACTGGATAGGCCTGGGGCTGAGTCTTTTTTTGAGAACCCTTAGCTGCTCGGACTGGACAGTTTGGAATGATGTGACCATATTGCTTGCAATAGGTGCACACATTCTTCTTCTTACAGTGAGATGCAATGTGTCCAAAACCCTTACACTCATAGCACTGAGTTTTGGAGAAGTCCTTGGAGGTTGACTTCTTACCTCCATGAGCAACAAAGGCTGTTCCCATCCCAACTCCAATCATCTTCCCATCAAATCCAACTGCAGTGAGAAGCCTAGTCTCTTCTCTCAGAAGTTCCCCTAAAATAGAATCCAGATCTGGAAGTGTTCCCCTACTCAGAATGTTGGACCTGATTATCTCATATTCAAGTCCAAGTCTCATCAAGAATTGAGTTACCTTCCTCTTCTCAAAGTGTTTCTAGAGATATTTCACACACTATGCTAGGTCCGAGGGTTCAATATGGATAATTTCATATTCAGCCTACAAATCAAGAAAACTTGAATAATATTCTTGTATCCTTTTATCTCCTTGGCTGTAGGCAAATATTTTTTATTCTATCTGGTACTGTTTAGATACGTTGGACTGTTGATAAACTTTTTCCAGATACGAGTACATCTCATAAGCTGTTTTCATTCTCCTCATAGGTACAGATATATGATAATCAATAGAACTCAGAATCCAAGAAACAAGCTTACTGTTATCCAACTTCCATTATTGTAAAGCCTTGGCCTCGATCTCACTTGGTTTAGTGATAGTTCCATTCAGGTATCCTTCTAAACCTTTCCCTTCAACATAAAAGTCAAAATGGAACATCCACATCCCATAATTCTGTTCATTCATCTTCACCGGAATAATATCCCCTCTGTTTGAAGCCATTACAACAAGAAAATAACAGAAAATGGGGTTCGGAAGAAGTCTAAAGGAACTAGACTGAAGTAAAAACTGATCAAAACGAGTGATGTAAACAGTAATCGAATCCAAGAGAGTCAAAAAACTGAGAAAAGAAGCCCCTTGCTTTCATTGGAGATTGTCCAAGATCCAGTAGAAGAAGAAAACTGGATACACAGTCCAGAAAAGGAAAGTCTGGATGCAGCTGCCTAGAAAAGAAGTTTAGATCTCTCTCAAAACTTCACGGATCTCAATGAAACTTACAGAGTATGTTGAGAAGGGCTAGGCGACAACTCCTTTTAAATCTTACTGCAAACAGATGTCAAACGAGAGAGATCCAATGAAGTCTCTCTTTCTAGATGTGCAGAAAGCAGAAAAATGGTTCCTGGAAAGATCAAGATAGTCCAGGACCAATCGGTAGAGATGCAAGTTCTCAACAGATCAAGAAAACAAGATGGATCAGAAAAAAAAGGATCAAAGGGCAACCTGCTTTGATACCATGTAAACTGAACTAAGAGCAAGAAGAGAACAGAATTAAGGGTGTCAAGAATAGTTGACCTCCACCCAAAGAGCCTCTTTTATATTAAAGAGGTAAAAGATATGTACAGTTACAAGAATGCCCTTACAGGGCTGAAAGATAAAAAGAACAAATAAAATAATAAGAATATTATACTGTACAACAAGGACTATTCTAATAATGCACATCAAGATATATCTGCACAATTTAATTAGAGAGTGAGAACAGAAAAAAAATAGAACCTCTTTATACTTCTATTCTCTTTCCTCTTTTTTTCTTTCTTTCTTTTTCCCTTCTCAAAACCCTTTGATCTTTTAAATTTCAGTAGTAAAACATTAAAACAAAGTATAAATGATATATATAACATATAATAAAATGTATTAACACACATATTAATAAGATACAACAATATAAATGATATTATATAAGGTGCCTGCCTTGTCATTTTTGTTGCCTAGGTGACACTTTGACAACTATACCATAGTAATCATAAGATCATTTCTTTTTATTTTTTTGAAAGGTAAGGTAAAACTTATATTAAAACATCACACAAGTATTACATCAGCTCCCAAGCCAACAATAAATTTGGCCGGAAAAGCTGAACAAACTACAGATTACAACTTCCAAATGGAATGTCATCTTAGCAACTCAGATACATTTATATTCTTAAATTCAGCATTCACAAAAATCCAGGAAACTAGCTTACAAACAGTAAGTTAATAAGGTCCTCTGAACTCTTCACTTTGTTATTGAAAATCCTATGTTTCTTTCAGCCCAGAATCCAGATGGACCACAAAACAGCAGCAGGGACAGCTTGCCACACAATCTTTCCTTTTTTCTTCAAACCTTGAACATTCCAGCTGCACAGCAACTCCTTGACTGAATTTGGCATAACCCAGCTCAGCCCAGCAACCTTGAGAAAATGATTCCAAACCTTAGATGTGACAGTACAGTGGAGACTAAGATGGTCAGTGGTTTCAGGTGCTAGACCACAAAGACCACAAGACTGATCCAGGATTTTCAACCTCCTTTTCTCCAGATTTGTTCTTGTGAGACACTTGTCCAAGGCCATTGCCCAAACTAGGAAGTTCACTTTTGAAGGAGGAACAGGATTCCAAATCTGCTTCCAAGGAAAATCAGAAACACCATGTCTGCTTAACTTTGAGGCCAGAGATCTAACAAGCAACCATCACTACTCCATTTCCAAACCCACTCATCTTCCTTGCTGTAGATAACATCCTGTCTCTGTAACAGATTCAGCAGCTCCACTACTTCACATATTTCCCAATCAAACAGATCTCTTCTGAAAAGGGGAGCCCAGATTATAGAATTTTCAGATAAGGTATAAGAATCAGCCACCGATACCTCTTGATTAGATGCACATTGATAGAGGAAAGACCTCTGCCAAGGAGCAGTACAAGCACCAAGTGTCCTTCTAGAATTTAATCCCGTCCCCTCTCCCAATCTTAAGGATCACCCCATCAAAGAAATAGGGAAGACATTTCATAATTCCCTTCCATACAGAACAAACCCAACTTAGGAGGGGATCATGAGAGTACCAATCCCCCCAGTTCACACCAAATTTGGCAGCTATAAGGCTTCTCCACCATGCATTCCTTTCAGTACCAAATCTCCAGATCCACTTGTTAAGGAGGGCTGTGTTAAGTACTTTTAGCTTCCTGATTCCCTGTCCCCCTTCTTCAATGGGCAGACAAACTTGATCCCACTTAATGAGGTGGATTTTCTTTTCTTCTTCCCAAATTCTCCACAAAATTTCTTTGAAGACTTTCAATTTTCTTGGCAGTCTTATCTAGGAGTGGGAAGAGGGATAGATAATAAGTGGGTAGATTAGATAAAGTACTTTTAATGAGGGCCACTCTGCCCCCTACTGAAAGATACTTAGCTTTCCATGAAGAGAGCTTTCTTTCTAACCTCTCAATCACAGGGTCCCATACTACAGCCGAGTTACATTTTACCCCCAAAGGGAGGCCCAGATACTTAAGAGGAAGGGGCTCCACTTTGCATGCCAACACTTCAGCACAGTTCTCCAAATTAGCCACTTGACCCACTGGGCTTATCATGCTTTTACTCAAATTGACCTTAAGGCCTGAAATCACTTCAAACCAACACAGAATTCCAAGTAACACCTCTAACTTCTCAGGAACTGCATCAAGGAAACAAAGTGTGTCGTCTGCAAACTGGAGAATGTTAACTTTTTCTTCCCCCCGGAGCAATTGCAAACCTCTCCCAAAGTCCAGCCTCAGCAGCCCTTCTGGAAAATTGGGTAAGGATTTCCATTAAACAAATGAAGAGGAGGGGGGACAGGGGATCACCCTGTCTCAGGTCTCTAGTGCTTTAAAAAAAAACCAGCAGCCTTTTCCAGAATAGAGAATTTAGATGAAGAAATGCAAACTTTGATCCAATTTCTCCACTTCTGGCCAAAATTCATCTTTTCCAGCACCAAGTCCAGACACCTCCAGTTCACATGATCATAAACTTTTTCAATTTCTAATTTGCAGATTAGGTCAGGGGAGCCTTCTCTTCTTCTTGAGTCAACAAGTTCATTGTCAATAAGGACTGAGTCAAGCATCTGCCTTCCCAGAACAAAAGCATACTGATTGCTTGAGATCACACTACTCATGACTCCTTTCATTCTTTCAGCCAACACTTTCTCCAAGATTTTGTAGAAACTATTCAAGAGGCTTATAGGTCTGAAATTTTTTAAATTTGTAGCTCCATCTACCTTTGGGATTAGAGTAACAAAGGTGGCATTTAGGCTTCTTTGCATAGAAGAATTCTCATGAAAAGCCTGAAAAACATTCATTACATCTTGCTTAATAAACTCCCGGCAACTAGTATAGAAGAGATTTGTCAGCCCATCGGGTCCCGGAGACTTTTCATTTTCCAACATACTAACTGCAGCCTTCACTTCCTCCTCTGTGAAGGGTCTCTCAAGCCACTGCTTTTGATCATCACTCAGGTGCTTGAATGGAGTGTAGAAACCTGTAGCAATCTGCTTAATTTCAGTCATCGATTCTCCCAAATTTCCATCCCATTCCAGCTTACTTATTGCATAAGACCTATTCCGAGCATCTGCCATTTTGTGGAATAAATGAGTATTTCTGTCCCCTGATTTTAGCCATCAAATTATAGCTCTCTGCCTCCATTTAATTTTACAAACTTATCAAAAAGTTTCTATATATATATATATAAGTGATTATATCCTACTCTTAATCCAAATCAACGATATATGTACTTAAAACAATAGAATTTACCACTTTTACAATAGATGTTTACGATGATATAATCAAGTTTGACTTGAAAGTCAAATAATCTACATTCAATGGCTCTTTATCCTACATATGATGGAAAATAAACTCATTATATGGTTTTAAATAACATAAATAAATCAATTCCTAGTAAGGTCTTTAAAACAAGTCACTCTTGAGAAAACTAAACATAAACAAAACAAAATGACAAAGTGGAGAACTAGTTCTTAATTGAATTGATTTAAATGGCAGGAATGGTATAAATCATAAGATTTATGAATCAAATCTTTGGGTTCAAAGAAAACATTGTAAGATTTTTATAGAAAAGGATTCAGACATAAGATTTGAATGAAACCCTCGGCGTTCATGATTCAAATCATGAATTGTATTGTAAATCGTAAGACTTTGACAAAAATACTTCCATGTTATAAACCAACAGTTTCCAAGAACCAGTTCTTTGACAAATTAGAGAGAAGTGTCTATCACCATGTTGACATGGAAATTTTTGCTAGGAATAGTTCCCCACTTGTTGACAGGAGATACTTTTACTGCTTTTTGTCCCTCAAATTGGACATGCTTCATGTCAAAGTTTGGTATAAAAAAATGATAATGGTCATATCATCAATCAAAATACTCTTACCACCAACTCCACCTTGTATTTGCACAGGGTAACATTCAATACGATAGATAAAAGAAAATTTGTATTAAAAGTAAAAAAAGTGGCTAATTACACCTAATACAATCTATATTACCTGGATAAGGCAAGAACACTGCTAGATATGGTATCAGATACAAAATGGTGGTGGTGGTTGAATAAATTTGAATAACAGGGAGCAATATTTATAACAATAGATGGGATTAGCTCAATATTTCTTGAGAGAATTTCGAGGTTCCTAATTCCTCTTGCCTGAACCTGTAAAGGAAATTATTCATCTTGGGTTTCAAGTTTTTGCAGGAAAAGCCATCTAGAATAAAAATTTATTAGTTGTGATTAAGATGATTTCATGCTTTCCAATTTTTTAAGTAGAATATGAAGTTCATTATGGTTGTTCTCTTTGTTTCCTTGTAGGTTATTTTCAAGTTGCAACCTGCAAGGCTATGCATTGATTACAAATCCAAATTTTGAAGCTCTATTTACTCAGAATTGATGAATTTCATTGTTCTTGAATCTTTTGACAGAGGAGATACATATTTCATGGATTATATCAGGAAGTAACTGAATCTGACTTCATATGTTGCAAACACTAAAGTGCTTTGCTGTATCCATTTCATTGTCATATTTGATAAGGCTACCTTTGTAGGTAAATAAGTATTGCCATGCCGTTTGTTTGGAAAATCAGAGTAAAAGTTTTATGAAATCATAGTTGCATAGGAATTTCTTGAGCATGATGAAGGCCATATTGAGGACTAGGGCAGAAGAAGAAGAGGTAGACAAGCTTACGAGTTCTCCAATCACAAGCAAGGACTTGTCATTTAGACTTGTGAAGGTTGTCACTTTTTTAGTTATATTTGTCTCTGGTATGGTTTTAGGATTGGCAGCAACTGCACACGTAACTCGATATTTTACTTCCTCACACCATGAACTATTCTTTTCTCCAATTCATGTCGCACAAGTATCCCATGAGGAGGATTGTTTAAGCATAACAAAGTACAAAAAGGAAGAGGATTGCTTGAACCTGAAGAGTTTTATTAACCCAGGGCATTTGACACATAGCATGACAGATGATGAGCTTTTGTGGAGGGCTTCATTGGTGCCGAAGAAAGAGGTCTATCCATACAAGAGAGTTCCCAAGGTGGCCTTCATGTTTTTGACACGTGGACCCTTGCCACTTTCACCATTATGGGATCGATTTTTCCAGGGCCATGAAAATTTGTTTTCCGTTTATGTTCATGCACTTCCTGGATATGAACTTAATGTCTCCAGGTCATCTGCTTTCTATGGCCGCCAGATCCCAAGTCAGGTGTGCTTTATTTCCTCCTTAAGCATGCTTACTTATAATTCTCTCGATATTAACAGGTGAAAATCTCCTGGTTACAGTGCACTGCTGATAAAAAAAATCCTGGTTACACAAGTGTCTTGGCATTGTTCTTGTATAGGTTTTCACTCTTTTTTTTTTTGGGGGGGGGGGTTGTTGTTTATGTTCTTACCCTTTTCTACTGAGTGGGTCTAGAACAACAAGGACTTGGTCACCACCACTAATGAACTCAAAACTTGTCTAGCTAAGTGACACACACACAATGCAGAGGTTACCTGAGCTCAAGTCATCTTCAACTCAGAAAAGTGTTCTCCCAATTACATGGGGTAGGCTACATGAATCCTCTTTCCCCAAACACCTAAGAAATCGAACATTGAAAGCGACTCACTTTCTATTTCCTAATCAGCTCTTAAAAATTCTAAAAATGGCTTCTTAACCCATTAAAACTATTGATAGGTTATTATTGTAATCAATGTAATGGTAGCCTAATCATTTTATTGTAATTAATTATATTTTCAATAATTGTTATTGTAATTAATTTTTTCTTATGTTTAAATTGTGGCATTAATTCTTGACATATTTTCTTTATTTTCTTAAAGAGTATTATAGCCACTGAATAAGTACTTTTTCATAAAGGTTAATTCATGTATTTACACCACTCATTCACTACTGTTTTATTCCCAACAACTATAAAAAATCGTAATTTTAGTATTTCATTTATGTGATTTATCAGAAAATCAAGTAACTTAGAATAGGGCTGGGTCTAACAATTTATTAAATCCAGGCATAGATTTAGAAATCCTTCTTAATAAGATACACCAACCCAAGAAGAGAGTAAAGAAATACATGTAAAGGGACATTATCAAAATTAGTAATGTTCATAACATGATGATCGAAACATATAATAGGTTGCCTATCGAAAAAAATAAAATAAAATAAAACATCTAACAAGAACTTACACATGCATCAACAATAACTAGATAAAGATGGTAAGGATGGTAGGTTGGTTATCCCTATGCTAGTTCTCTATACAATTGAAAGGATTCAAATTAGTAGAACTCAAGCCTGTTCCCATAGCATCTTCATCCTTCAATAATGGAAGGTGCATAGAGCTTTAAAGAAAATAATGGATCCTAGAGCCTGCTCCCATGTTTTAATCCTTTGGGATAAGAGAAAAACTTGGAGTTAGAGAATGAAAAGAGAAATTTAGTATTTCATTAGGGATAGTGTTTCGATTTAGAAGTGAGAAGCAATAAGGATTCCTAAGAATAGAATATGTTTAGATTTTCTAAAACGTAGGGATCTTTTTTTTTTTTTTTTTGAGTGGGGAGTATTTAAGAATATCAAAATTATTATGGAGTCTGCTGAGAATAAATTTAAGAAAAAAAGGGCATGCAACCTGGCTGCACCCCAAGGTGGGAAAGTTTACCTTTCATCTTTAAAATTCGAAGTGAAAAATGACATGAATTGTACTAGTACTAATGGTTGAGTCATTTAGAAAACTCTAAATGACCTACGAATCTTCCAAGGGGCAAAGTTACAAGGGGCCCATAAAAGGTCCTGATATGTTATCCTTCCCTTTTCTACTCTTAGAAGAAAAACTAGCATGAAAGCTCTAGCAGTTGGAGTTATTTATCACTTATTCTTGAGGTGTATTAGGTTTGACTTAGTTTTAGGCCATCACCTCTGCTCTCAAACAGTCTCCCTCCCCAATCGGCCTGGAGTATAATTCAATGAATTTGCCCTTGTCATCTCTAAATACACCTCCTATACTTGAGCATCCTGGATTACCCAAACTGCTACCGTCGAACTTTAATTTTACAAACCCTCTATCTAGTGGAGTCCATTGATGATTAACAGCTGTTTTATAAACAGAAGAGTCCACCACTTCCTTCCAATTCCTCAGTGGGTCATTTGATGAGATGCTTTAGAAACTTTACAAGCATTTCAGCCAACGCACCAATCTTATTTTAATTGTTTCAATGACATCTTCTTTATTTCTTTCTTTTTCTAAGAATATCCTTGCATTTCTCTCCTCCCATACTGTCCAAAGAATGGCAGTTCTTATACATCCTGACATCGGCCTCCCTCTCTTCTTTGGCCAATTAAAGGTATTTGTGGCCAAAATGCTTTGTACATCCACAGGGGGATTCCACCTGCACCCAAACAAAGAAAAGCACCAATCCCAAATAGAAGTAATGAAAGAGCAGGGGGATAAACACACTAATGAGGGGATAAATATTAATGAGGTGGAAGTAACTCTCACCATCAGCCTTGTAGAGCACACACTAATGTGGGGATAAACACCAACTTGGCCTCTTTCTTTGAAGTAATCTAGGGTATTAATCTTTCCATGTGCAACTTCCCAACAAAAGCATCAACCCTTGGTGGGATAGGTTTGCACTACACCTCTTTCACTAGAAAAGAAGGCAGAGAGTTTGTTGAGGGTTGTAACAACGATTTGAAGAAGGATGCACAAGAGAAGGAACCAGATGAGGTACAAGTCCAGATTTGGCTAACAGCCCTAGAGGGTCCAAGGAAAACTCCCTCCAACAATTGCAAAAGGTTAAGCACACACTGGACTTCTGAATCTCTGATGCCCCTTCAAAGACCCGAGTCCCAACTAATCCCATTATTTGAAGGAGTTGAACAATGAATTTAGAAATTGGCTTATTTCACAGGTTTGATAATGTAAATAGAGAGGGGAGGTCTCAACCAATTATGTTCCTAGAATTTTATGTTACGATCATTGCAAAGATTATACCTGATGAAGGGGAGAAACATAGGTAAAATTTCACTAATAGCCTTCCAGGGGGAAGATCTGTTTGCCCTAGAGATTACACCAGCGTCCCATCATTGCCCAAGAGCCCATGAATGCTCAAAATCACCTTAGTCGACAACTTATCCCTATCTTGGGCCAACCTCCAAAGCCACTTCCCTAGCAATGCTATATTCCTTCTTTGTAAATTCCCTAAACCCAATCCCCCTGCTTTTCTATCTCTACACACTACCTCCCAACTTATCCTATGATCTCTTTTTTCCTCCCTTGGCTCCCATAGAAAGTCCCTCATAAATGTCCCTATCTTCTTACAAACACTTGTTGGAATCTTGAAAATTGACATGTAATAGACAAGTAAGTTAGACAGTGTTGATCTAATCAAAGTGATTCTACCACCTAGAGACAAATACCCTTTCCTCCAAACACTTATTGGAATCTTGAAAATTGACATGCAGTAGACAAGTAAGTTAGACAGTGTTGATCTAATCAAACTGATTCTACCACCTAGAGACAAATACCCTTTCCTCCAACTTGCTAACTTCCTGAGAATCTTTCTAATATTAGATTCCAAAAACTTATGTCCCTTGGGTTTGCTCCTAATGGTAAACCAAGATATGTTAGTGGCCAGGACACAACACTACAACCTAAGATATTCATGCACTTTGCCAGAACCTCTTGCTCCATATTGATCTGAACTAAACAGGTTATTTAAAAATTTATTTTCAAATTTGACATTCTTTCAAAAAGCTGCACCAAGGTCTTTAAATTCTTAATCCAATCTAAATCATCTCCCTCACAAAACAAGATAGTATCATCTGTAAATTGTAAATGAGTAATAGGAACACCTTCTCTCTCTACTCTCCATTCTCATACTAACCCTCTTGAATCTGCCCTCAACACAGTTCTACTAATGACATTTGGTATAAGGGTGAAAAGAAAAGGGGAAAGGGGATCTCCTTGTCTAATTCAACTTTTAGCTGGAAAGGAATCTACTACTGTACCATTAACAAAATTTGAATAATGACAAGTAATTAGGCACCCCCAAATCCAATTACACCATCTTTCCCCAAACCCACAATGTCGCAAAATCTCAATTAGAAAAGACCAATCAACCAAATTGTAGGCTTTTTCCAAGTCCAATTTACAGATTATACCCTTCTTTCTAGGTCTCCTAAAGTCCTCAACACACTTATTAGCAATCAAGATCTGCTTTATGATTAGCCTATTTTTTATAAAGGTCCTTCGGTTCAAAGTCACCAAAGAGGGGAGTATTTCCAAAATTCTCAAGGATAGAACTTTGGCTAAAATTTTATACAAACTGTTCACCAGGCTAATGGGTCTGAAATCTTTGGGATGGTTGGCTCCACTTTTCGTAGGGATCAAAGCAATGAATGTGGAGTTGAATCCTAAATTGATTACACCTCTGTCAAAAAGCTCACTAAAATCCTCCAATAAGTCATCTTTTAACACATCCCAATAGTCTTGATAGAATGCCATGGTGAAACCATCTAGCCTTGGAGCTTTGGCTCTGTCCATAGAGAATACTACTTTCCTCACCTCCTCTTCATCAAAGGGTCTTTCCAACCAATCCGTTTGATCTCCTGTTAAACTAGGCCAATCTAGACCATCTACCCATAGAATTTCGGCTAAAGGCCTTCTAAAGCTTGATTTAAAATGCTCCACAAAGGCCTGTGCAATCTCTCCCAGATAGGGATGACTTCACCTCCTATCTCAAACTTGGGAATGAAGTTATTTTTCCTTCTGGCATTGGCCATAACATGAAAAAATCTTGTATTCCTATCCTATTACCTTCTTGAATCCATTTTTCCCTCGATTTTTTTCTCCAACTAATCTCTTCTTTAAAGTTTAAACAGGATTTCTTCCAATTGTGCCTTCAAGGGCCACCTTAGCTCTCTCTCTCTCTCCTTTAATAGCCCTGAAGCTCTTTGGTATCCATTTCTTCATTTGATCTACCCTGGTGTTGGGCATAAAGTTTTGGGAAGACCTCTAGTAGGGATAGACCATTTTGCCTTGCTTTCCCCAAATACTGTAGCATCTATCTTTATAAAAATAAGCATGTTCCTGATCATGCCCACTTTTCTCCCTTTCAGTTGACTTTTTGGACAGGAAATGGATACAAAGAATTTGATGAGGTCATTTCATTTGTTGACGGTCTTAGAGATGTTTTCCTTCTCTGCTAGTTTTG